TAGAAGAAGACTTCAGGTTTCCACGCTGGCTATTGGGATGCAAAGAGCATCTGGGAGTTCCATGGTTTTGGGATCAGCTGCCATTCTATGGAGGCCTGAGCAAAATACAGGTCAGGGGCAGAGACGGAGCTGCAGAGGCAGTTGCTGCCTTGAGCATTTTGAGGGACAGGAACCAATGGTGCTGTATAGTTGAAGGGTTTCCCGTATCCAAATGTGAAGATGTCTTGCTGCGATTTCAGCTGATCTTGGCTGAGAGTTGCCCCCACTTAGCACTTGGATGGGAGACCACCAGGAATTCCCAAGACTGTGGGTGAGAGGGGGAACGGTCGTGTAAGGGAAGGGTGTTTCATGAGGGGGAGGGGGAGCAGGTGCATCAAGTGGCAGTCGTTCTATGGAGATGGCAGCAGTTCTGGATATTATTGGCCCCTGGCCCCTGCCTGCAAAGGGCTTCACTGGGTGGGAAGGCATAGCCAGCTCCAGCAGAGCAGGAGCACCAGACGACTGTGGGCAGTGAATCTCTTGCCTGGGTATCAGAGACACCTGCAGGAACCACAGGGTAACTGGGAAGCTGCACTGAAGCTGAGCTCATGGCGACCATCTTGATTTTTTGACTGCACCCTGTGGACTCGTTTTGACCTTGTCTCTTGCCTTGGCTTCCAGTTTGCCATCTAGTAATAGTAATAGTAATAGTAGTAAAGTTGGAAGGGACCTTGGAGATCATCTAGTCCAACCCCCTGCTCGGGCAGGAAACCCTACACCATTTCGGACAAATGGCTGTCCAGTCTCTTCTTAAAAACTTCCAGTGTTGGAGCATTTACTGCTTCTGGAGGCAAGCTGTTCCACTGATTAAGTGTTCTCACTGTCAGGAAGTTTCTCCTTAGTTCTAGGTTGCTTCTCTCCGTGATTAGTTTCCACCCGTTGCTTCTTGTCCTGCCTTCAGGTGCTTTGGAAAATAGCTTAATTCCCTCTTCTTTATGGCAGCCCCTGAGATATTGGAATACTGCTACCATGTCCCCCCTTGTCCTCTTCATTAAACTAGACATACCCAATTCTAGCAACCGTTCCTTATATGCTTTAGCCTCCAGTCCCCTAATCATCTTTGTTGCTCTTCTCTGTACTCTTTCTAGAGTCTCAACATCTTTTTTACATCGTGGTGACCAAAACTGGATGCAGGATTCCAAGTGTGGCCTTACCATATCCCACTCTGTTGGGACATTACTTACTGTTGGACCTGATCAGTGTCCTCCAAGGCGATGGTGGTGGTGGAGGAGGACTTCCTAATCCCCCAGTGACCGAGTTGGGTGGCTCCTCCTGGCCTTTGCCAAATTTATAGCCTCCTCATTTAGTCCCTGATAGCCAGCATTTCTCCCATTTATCAGGAAAACGAGATCGTCCATGCCTGACAATTGAAGAAGTGTATTCTTTCATACGGAAGAAACTCCACATGCATGACAAGTAAGCCATGAACCTCTAGACTCAGAAGGGACTCTCGAGGCCATCAACTCTCCTCCTGCCCAAGCAGGTCATCAAAGTGAAGCACCCAAATGGATGACCCAGAGGAGGTAGCCCCGTTCCCAGGGACATGGCTTTTCCTGGTTGACAGCTCTGTGCTTGGAAGAGTTCTTAAGAGGCTTAAGATGTTATCAGTGTTGCCCAGAGAAATGGCATGTCTTGACACCAAAAAATTGCCGGTCCTTGGCCTGAAGGTGGAGGTGCCATTGCCCACCCCGGATCTCTGCAGACACCTTGTCCACCACCCCAGACAGCTGCTTTGCAGGAAGGCCTGGGTCACAGCTAGCGAAAGTACGGCAGGGTCTCCCTCAGCTGGAAGAGGGATGCCTGAACGAATGGGGGCCCTCTTGAGGTGTGGCTTCGCTGCCTGAGCTCATCTTTAAATGGGTTCCCCCAAATATCTATGGAGATTCTCAGTCATCCAGGTCACAGTTGTCTCATCAGGTCATAATTCTCTCACAGTTGTCTCATCAACCCATCAGGAGAAGATTCAACAGCCCATCTGCCTTTGAAAGACAAGGGCCACTCTTTTGAAGACAGCAAAGTTCACATTCTGGATAGAGATGACCATTGGTTTGAAAGAGGGGTAAAAGAGGCCGTTTATGTCAGAATTGAACAGCCCTCTTTCACCAGAGAGCGAGGAATAAGACACCACCTATTTCCTGTCTACAAGACAGCCATTTTAGCCATGCCAGGAAGATCCCACAGCCATTTGCACTTGATTCAGGTGATCCTGAAGGCAAAGATAAATGCCCCAGTGGCCTAAATGAGAATGCTAATGAACAGACGATTGCAAAGAAAAACAGTCCTTCCGTTTCCCCCACCCACCCACCCTATCCTGTTAGAACCTATCCTTCTATTTCCTCACCATCCAGTCTCAATTCTCAGTACCTCTCCTTCCATCCCACCTGCTATCAGAACTGATGAAGCTTCTGGGATGAGAAGCGAAACATCTTCTTCCTCAAGGGGAAAAAAAAACCAGTCCAATTGCCTCTTTGAAAAATCACTTTTGAGGGTTCCCCCAATTGTTGGAGGCAGCAATAAAGAAGGAGGCAAATTGTATGGTGTGGATGCTGGCCTAGGAGGAGAAAGACCTAAGGGTGACCTCAGGCCAGGTTATCTGTCTCAGGTTCTGCAAGATGCATCGATAGCCTTCTTTGGTGAACTGAGCAAGAACGTCCAAACATAAGGGATCTGCAACCACGAGGGACAAATGCTAAGCGCCCCCTCCATCCACAGGAATAAGGAAGGGTCCACATCCTGACAGAGCTTGGGAGCAAAATGAAGGCCTAGATGAGAAGCTGTTCCTGTGCACTGAAGCCATCTTCCCCATACCATTCTTAAGGTTACATCCTGACAACCATCCTCTGGCTATTCAGCTGCCCTATGGGTTTACTGTGGAGGAAGAGGAGGAGCTGCACACGGTGGATCTCCCATTCAGGAAGGACAAACAGCCCAGTTGTTCTCCCTCGGGTGGAGGGCGGGCCTGGGACCAGTCTGGGATGGATGCGACTTCGGCAGATGGCTAGAACAGCAGTGGAGCCTCGGGAGAGAGCAGGGCCTTTCTCCACTGCACCGCAGGAAGAGCCCTGTGGGTCACCTGCATCTCCACATCCTCAAGGCAGTGATGGAGGCTGGCAGGAGGTACTACATGAATGTCCCCAGCAAAAGCGATCAGTCAGTTTGGACGTCTTCCTTCCACCTGCCAGCCAGTCCAGCAGCCAACAGCAGGCCTCACTCCCCACTGCACAACCCCATGGTCACCATGTCCAGTGCAGGCTTTTCTTTGGCAGAAAGCGCAGACCTGATTTTCACCCCAGAGCAGAAAATGGCAGTTAGGCAGCTCTGTTCCGCTGAGGAACAACTTTGTGGAAACAGGTAATAATAGCTAGTAAAAAACAGATTTGGCAGCCTTCAGTCTGCAAGAAAACCACCAAGCTCAAAGACCATCAAGGACCCTACAGGTCAATCCTGAGCTACATTCTGTTAGTTTTTAGTTACCGTGGGGCCACTAGGCTATGATTGGAATTACCAACACATTTTTTTAAATGTGCGATTAATGTATTGAGCAAAGAAAATGGAGACAACTAAGCATTCCAGTATCATTATATCCCAGGAGGAAAAATGGGTCTCTGATCAACAGACCCTAACCCTTGTGGCCTCCCAATACTCAGCTAATCCTTGCGATCTATTCTCCCCCCCCCCCCAGCTACACCTTTAACAGAATACTAACAGAATAACAGGAGCTGGAAGGGACCCTGGAGGTCTTTTGTCCAATCCTGTTTAGGCAGAAAACCCTATATCATTACAGACAAGTGGCTGTCCAGTCTCTTCTTACAAGCCTCCAGTGTTGGAGCATTCACAACTTCTGAAGGCAAGCCATTCCATGGTTAATTGTTCTGTCAGGAAGTTTCTCCTTAGTTCTAGGTTGGTTCTCTGCTTAGTTTCCATCCGTTGCTTCTTGTTCTGCCTTCAGGTGCCTTGGAGAATAGGCTGACCCTCCCTTTTTTATGGCAGCCCCTCAAACATTGTAAGACTGCTTTCATGTCACCCCCTACTCCTTTTCTCTAGAGTAGACAAACCCAATTCCTGCAACCATTCTTCATATGTTTTAGCCTCCAGGCTTTTAATCATATTTAAGGTGATTAAAGTTAAATCTTGGACCGCCTTTAGGCAGTCCGAGAGCTCCCTCTGCTGGGAAGAAGTGTTTTTCTAAAATGCTAGCAAGGAAAGGAGGAAACTTATAAGATGCTTCCCAGGATGGTGAATGAATGTCAGTTTCTTATATTTGTGATTTTCAATTATCACGATTCCTCAGTTTTTTAATTCCTAAATTACCATTCCTTTACTAGTTTATGATTTTAAAACAAAAACATTATTCACTTAAATTTTATTTTTTAATTAAATGTATATGAAATTTATATCTTATGTAACAATCAGATACTTTAATTAAAAAATAATGGCTAAAATTGAGCTGTTTAAAAGTTAGCATCATAGATGTATAGTGCAAAAGTATTTTAAAACAAAACTGAATTTCAGTATTTCTAAAATTAATCAGAATTTTAGGAAATGCTTTACAAAATGATCATTTTTAAACAAATATTGACATATAATTAGTGCTGAAATATTTTCATTGATGCATACATTTGCTACTATCTTCAAAAGAATAATTGGAAAAGTTGATTAAAACATTGGTTAAAATTAGTGAAATTTTACAAAGTTACATAGCTTAAATTTTCAGCAAAAAAAAGCAATTTGAGAGCTACTGGGAAAAAATTCCACAGGACTAAAAATGGATGAAAAGGTTGACATTTCCCCATCAATTATAAGTAAATAACACAAGCTAAATAGAAGCAGAGTGGGAAAAACACAAGAGAGATAAAGTTCACAGAATTATTCTTCAGGCTGATGTGAAAAAATTACTTGCCTAGTACCGGATCCGAGAGACACACACATCTTCTCTGAAGTCCTAAAATGGTACTTCTGGGATCCCTTTGTAACCAGATTGGGCCGAGCTTTGTATGGACACCTCTTCTTTACAAATAGGAAGCCCCACCGAAGCCCTGCTTCAGAGGGAGGGCTGACATCGCTAGCAGTTCAAGAAGTTCACAGACGGTTACGATGTGATTAACAACCTCCAACTCAAGATGCCACAAACTTCTCTTGGCTCTCATTTGCTTCCTTCTGCCTACTCCACGCTTAGCACAGCTACTTGGGACAGGCACAATGTTTACACACAATGTGAAATCCGGCTAGTTTAAATACAAATGTGTCTGCCCACTAAACTTGGTTGGCATTAGTTTGGGTGCCTGTGCAGATTAGCCTTCTGAGCAAGCCCCTGGGGGGGGGAGGGGGGAGAGCTGGCCTGTGAATAGAGTGCAGGACTACTAGGGAGCAAGTCAGACTGTGTGTGGCAGAGGAGCCTGTCAGCCTGTAGGTGTCAAGATTGTAAATGGCCTCATAAGAAAAGCATCTTAGATGGAAGAAAAAAGTGCTATTTTACACTACGCTTATTAACAAAACTAACACCACCTCTCTCCCCTTCTTGACCGGAGAGGTTATTTCAAGGCAAGGAAATGAACTTTTGAAACCAACCACCCTTTTATTTCTTGAGCTTGTGATCATTTGAAAGTAATAAGCTGGGAGTGGGGAGAGAAAATAAGCAGGAAGGGAGGACAAGAGGAAAGGCGAGAGCTAGAACTGCTTCAGAAGTCACTAGATCTGAAGTGGCCAAGTGTGAAACAAGACAGCTGGCATGTCTGGTGCCAAGGAGACTTGGCACGAGCCCTCTGCCTCCCTGGGACCAGGGAAGTTGTCCCAGAAGCAAACAGCAGAATTCCAGAGGGGCCAGCGCCTTCATAGCTTCTTTGGGAGGAGGAAAGGGCAGTTGGGGGGGTTCTCCCCCCCCCCCAAGCTGTTCAGGAGAACTGAAAGAGGGAGCAGGCATGTCCTTGAGCCGGGACTCAGTTTAGGAGGGGGAAATAAATTCTGGGGAGCACAAAGGGTTGCATTACCAGTTAGGTAATTCATGACGCCTGCATGGGAGGAGAGCTTCACAGTGTTTTGACTCTCCCACAGGGCTGGTAGGGAGGTTATTGTTTTGGTTCTCTGCAGTGGGCATGGAATAGTGGAGCAACCTAGGCCGTCCAGGCTCCAAGTTATTTGAGGGAACTTCTGGCACTGCGAAATGGTGCAAGGGAATAAAGAATGCCAGAAGTAACCCCCGAGTGGGAGACAGTAAAAGGTTTGCCAGGAATTAGAACGGGAGTATAAATCATAAAAAATCTGGTTTGCAATACTACAGGGGCCATTTCAGTTCAAACCCCCCCCCCCAATTGCTTGACTTTACAGGCTGCTTTATGGAGTACGTCTCTGAAGGAAGAAGAGCTGCTATTACAATGCGGCAGAGTCCGCAACAGTCATCTCAAAGCCGAACCAGGCCAGAGCAGGGGGACATGGCAGACAGATGAAGGTCAGCAAAAGACGCAGCACAGAAGATCCAATTTAATTCAGCAGGACATTCTGCAGTTCAGCGTGGAATGGAAAGGGGTTTCCTCCTCCAAATAAAAGCCTCAATCACTGCATTAGACTTCTGAGGTTGTCACGGTGGCCTTCTCTTCTCGCTTCTTCTTTTCCTTAATTACAGCAGAAATATAATAATTCTTGAATTTTATAAAAAAGATGGGGATGGGGATAATGATGGTAAGCAAGCCACAAAGCACCGCACAGGCTCCAATCACTTTGCTAGCTGGGCGGGTGGGATGCCTATCACCATAGCCTACGGTGGTCAAGGTGATGACAGCCCACCAGAAGGATGAGAAAATGTCACGAAGCAGTAAATCTGGGTGATTCTCGATCAATTCGGCAAACAACATGAGGGTGCCAAAGAAAAGGATTTCAAAAAGAAAAACCCACATCAGGATGGCAATCTCCTTCAAGATGGACTTGAACATGTAGGGGAAGACTTTCAGCATCAGTGGGGTTTCCACCAACTTGAAGACCTTCAAGAGTTTGATGATATACACCACACGGAACAAGTTCAGCCAACACGGGAGAGCTTCAGGCTTGTGTGCATGTCCGCTGAAAGAGAGATCCAGGCAAACTGGGAAAAGTGCCAAGAAATCGAACACATTCAGGGGCTTTTGAAAGAATTTCTTTTTGTCTGGGCAGAAAACGAGTCGAACGACAAATTCACCCATAAAGCAGAGAATGAAGAAAAGCTCCAGGTGGAGGAGAGAAGGTATCTGGGGACACAACGATTCCACTGAATGGTAGTGGATGTGGGGGTGGGTGAAGTTGCTGCCTCCTATGGAGTCTTCAGGTTGGCCTCCTTTGACACAGAGGATAATGATGACAGCAACATTGAACAGCAGTGACCCGACTGCAAAGCCCTATAAGGAAGGAGAGAGAGAGGTCAGACCTCAGTTGCTAGGAGCATCAGGTCTCACCACCATCGCCCCAATTTGATTGTAAATCACTCAGAAACTACAGTAACAGCCATAGTCACAAACCAAGGGTGCCACTTCACCTTAAACTTTACATACAACTATATATTCAGTTTCCCCCGTATATGTATTTCTCCCTTCTCTTGTATTGTGATTAAATTCTTCCGGAACTTCCCCCTCCCATTAAATAGCGATAAAATTAAGTGGAGGATGTCTATAGGAGGCTAACTGCTCCCATTTCCAGCTTTAGTGGCACGGTTTGGGTCCATCTGGAAGATTTGCTGCTGTTCTGGAGACTTTCCACTTCTATTTCCCTCCTTGAAAAGTCTACAAACGGAAGACAAAAAACAAAACACAGATCTCTGAGTCGCTAGATGTTCTGCAGCCAGTTAAAGGAGTTAGGAGTCTGGATTTTAAACGGCTGGGCAAGAAAACATTGAAAATGAAATGTGTCCCTTTTCCAAGATTGATAAACTCACCACTTAAAGAATATTCATGACCTCCTTGGTGCCAAACAGTTTTTTTTTGTAAGCAGACCCTGAAAGCAGATCCCAACAAACGGCTCCAGGTCAAGTTTGAGCTTCTCTTCCTTCTATAGGAGGTTTCTAAATTAGCTCAACAATCGGTCCTCCAATCTTCAGAAGAGCACTGTCCCCACCCCAGGCTAAGGGACCATCTGGTCCATTGGAGAATCCTGACTCACTGAAACAAGGAGCAGAAAAGAAAATTGGAGAGAGACAATCAAAGAGGGGATGAAATGGGCAGGACCATGAGCAACAGTGGAGGAGGAAAGCACCTGGTGGACAGAAGCACAACATGAGGCAAGAGTGCGATGCAGGTACAAGACAAAAGTTGGTGGAGGCCACATCTGCAGCAGCTCAGGATCAAGCGTGCTCACTGGTCTCTCTATTTTTGCAAAGATCAGGCCAACCCAGAATATTGCACCGTGCGCGGCATTTTAGGAAAAACATTGACATATTGGAGCATGTTCAAGAACGAGCAGAGGCATTGGGGACTGTTCAGCCTGGAGAAAAGGACACCACAGGGAAATTCCGAAAAGAAAAAGCAGCCAGAAACCCACTAACGTGACATCCCCTTTGACCATGAGTTTCTCCAACCACACAAGCGGACAATGCTACACGATACGGCAGAGAATCTGGAGATTCCACTCAGTCTTGCACCTTCTTGTGTTTGGCGGAGGAAGGGGGGGAGGTGTGCTGAGGGGGGAGGCTGCTCTCCCACAGGACCAGTCATTCTCCCAGGAACAACTGTTGAACACGGGTTTAGCGCTCTTCCGAAGAAATGGCAAACCTACGTTTAGAGTTCCTGCTTCCTAAGCAGGAAGCCCGAGTTCCAAAGGAGCCCCCCCCCCGGGAGAGCCGACAGGGTTGGGGGCCTGTGCTGAAGCCAGATCTCCCTGGGCTGCTCCCCCCCACCAGGCCTGTCAGCTGCACGGGCAGAGCCTCTGGCAGGGTGGGCAGGCAACACTCGGCTCCCCCTCTCCCCCTGCCCTGGCAGCCAATCCCAGGCAAAGGGGAAGGGTCGTCCCCCTCCTTGCGCCCCTCCTGTCCCACACCTAGGAAGGGGGGACCCGCCCCCACCCCCGTCCTCTTCGGCAACCCCGCCAGGCCCTCAAACCGGGCTGGAAGATCCCACGGAGCTCCGAGGGAGGCGTCGCTGTGAGCGGGTCCTGCTTGCCCCACGGACTGCGGCTCTCTGCTGGGCGGGGAAAGGCTCCAGACCGGGGCTACCCCACCGAGGGGCCCCGCGCCCCCCGCCGGCTCACCGTGGCCCAGGGCGAGGAGTGCGGCTCCTCCAGGAACGCCCAGGCCGGGCGCGCCCACCGCGCCCACGGGCCGCCCGTCCCGCGCGGGACCCGCTCCAACAGGCCGCGCCGGTCCTCTGGCTGGCCGGGGCCGCCCTGCTCGGCTTCCTCGGCTTCCTCGCCCTCCGGGCAGAGCTCGCTCCAGCAGCAGGCGGGCAGCCGCGCCTCCGAGAGCCCCCAGAAAGCCAGCTCCGTCCGCAGGGCCGCGCGGCAATTGGCGGCGGCGGCGGCGGCGCCGTGGAGGTGGCCGCTGCGGCAGAGGTGCAGCACGTGCTCGAAAAGGCGGCCGCTCCGGTCGAAGAAGAACTCGCCGGCGCGGGCGTCGTAATCGAAGCGGGCCGCGGCCCCGGGCTCGGCCAGCCCGCCCAGCTTGGTGCCCGGGAAGGCGGCCAGGATGCGGCGGCAGGTGCGGTAGCGCAGCCCGCCCACGTTCAGGGTAACCCGGCTGGAGGGGCCCTCCATGCCTGGCCCGGCGGCTCCGGAGACCTGCGGAGGAGGAGGAGAGGGGTGAGCGGAGGGGAGAGCGGGGAGGCCCGAGAGCCCCGCTCCACCCGGCCCCTCGCGAACAGAGCCGCCCGCCGGGCTGCCCTCCGCCGAAAGCGGCGCCGGGCTCTTCGCTGCCGGCCCGGGCAGGCGCGGCGGGGCCGTCCGGGCTCTGCTCGTCCTCCTCCCGCTGCCCCTGGCCGGCCCACCTCGCAGGGCGCCTTGGCCGGGACGGCGGCTGGGCGCGGAGGGAGCCCCTCGCCCCTCTACCTGGCCGGGCGCTTTGCGGGCTTCCGCCCCGCCGCTGTCCGCGCTCCGGCTCGCTGTCGGCCGGGGACGTCCCCGCTTCCCTTCCGCCCGCGGCTGGCCGAGCGGCGAGGACCGAACCGTAGCGGCGGCGGCTCGGTCTGTCGGACGCGGAGCCTCCCAGGCGGGCGGCGGAGCGAGGCGGCCAATCCGCAGCCAGTCGCTCCCCCCTCCGCGCCCCTTCCCGCTCCAGCCCGGCTGGAAACCGCCCGGCCACCCCGCCCGCAGCCGCATCTGGGCTGGCGTTGCGCAAGGAGGGCAGAGGCGACCCCCTTCCTGGCCCGGAGCCCCCCACGGGGGTTTTCGCCTTGGAAAAATGGGGGTGGGAAATCTCTCTCTCTCTCTCTCTCTCTCTCTCTCTCTCTCTCTCTCTCTCACACACACACACACACACACACACACACACACACACACACACACACACACATCCAGCGCCTTCCCCCCAGGCATGAGCTGTGCTGAGAACGGGATTGTTACCTTAAATAATTGTATAGTTGCAAACTACTTTGTCACTTTCCATAATGAAAAGCCTTAATGTAAGGACCCACCCCACTTTGCATCTTAAGGAGACAGAACTCTTGGAATATTCCTTCCACCAGGCATCCTTTATTACAGTGGTTCTCAACCTTTTTAATGCTGCGACCCCCACCTGGTCGTAAGTCGAGGACTACTCAACCAGTCGTAAGTCGAGGACTACTCAACTGGTGCAGCATCGTTTGCAGAATGGGACTTTTGGCGGGCTCAGCAGGGCAGGGACAGCCTGGACAATTCCTATTGGCTTTTGAAAGCCAATAGAATTAGACTCTATTCAAGACAGTCTATTCTATTGGCTTTCAAAAGCCAATAGAATAAAAGGGAGTAGCACAGCTAAGGAAAAGGGGAAAAAAATGGCGGACTGTGTTGTTTGGCGACCCCCGTGAAATGGTCGTTCGACCCCAAGTGGGGTCCCAACCCACAGGTTGAGAACCACTGCTTTATTAAGAGAAAATGGTTGCAGACGTTCTAGACAGGACCTGGGGCCCAAGTCCTACGGTTCAAGGTCCCCAGCAGCCCCACCCCACCATCTTTCCAGCGACAATCCCAGGCGTTACATTTCCACCCCTTTTCCCTCACTGCAGGTGGAAGGGAGACTTCAGAGAGGATTAGATGAGAGCTAATGGCCTCATTGTTATGTTTAGTCCTTTTGGTGGTATCCACATCCAGTCTCTTTGAAGTATACTGAAGGAAGTGAGGGCCATAAAGCCCCTTTGTTCACCCCCTTCCCTTCATCGTATGGCAGAATCCAGAGAGGGCAGAAATGGGGTTTTCCATAGTCAATAACTAGAGATGAAATATAATTGGATTCTGACAGCCTTATAGAAATAATTCGAAGAAGCCAATCAAGGATAAACATTTGCTTCTGGGGGGGGGCAGGCAAAGAGGGTCCTTGGCTGCCTTTCTTTGGGATTCCTGCGCCAAGCTGGATGGGGGTGGTGGACTCAAAGGCTTTGCCTGACCCCCTTCTCTTCCCCAGGGCTGTCGTTGCTTTACCCCACTTGAGACAAATGGGTGAAATGCATTTTATCAGCCTCCTTGCTAATTTCTCTGCCATCAAAACCAGGAAGCCCCCGGGAGAGGGGGTAGAAGTGGGATGCCTCTGTCTTGGGCAGGGTGGGTAGATGCCTGTACCGGTCCTTTAACCAAGACATCAAACTGCAAGATGCAGCCAGGCCAGGTCTTGAATTAGAGACTGTGGGGAGAAGTGAGCCACACATGTGGGCCTTTGGTCTCCCATCTCCCTGGCAGAGAAGTTGGGTCCTTGTGGCACGAGAAATGTGGGGTCCCACCAGAGATTTCACATTCTCCCCTTCTTTGTCAGCTTGAGTTGGGTTGAAAGTTTAATTGTTCAACTGTCAGAAGTAAGTCTTCATCCTGGTTCATCCAAGCCGGGAATAAATAAACAACATGGTGACTGCTTTGGGAAGATGGTTACAGTTTATTGAAGAAGCAGAAAGATGGTTCTTGCAGGAAAGGACAGAGGAGAGAAGGGCTGAGCACATAGGCAAGGGGTTTTTTATACCCTCTCTAGCCTTTTGTTTGGAAGTTTCCTGTTCCTGTGGCATGAACTTTGAGGCTATATCCTGTGTCACGTATTCTGGCCTGACCCTAGGTGTGCCTCTCTAGTATACTTGATGGTAATGGGTTAGTCCTATTATGTCCCAAAAGTCATATCCTGCTTCCCTGGTGATGGGGCTAATGACTCCTAGAGTTTGGGTGGGGTGTACAGATTTTAAGTCCCTTTGTCTTTTTGAGTTCCCTGGCTCCAACTTTCTGATGGTTTTCCATTTGCATTTGTATAGGGCAGGGGTAGGCAACCTTGGCTTTTTTATGACTCATGGACTTCAACTCCCAGAATTCCTGAGCCAGCATAGCTGGCTCAGGAATTCTGGGAGTTGAAGTCCATGAGTCATAAAAGAGCCAAGGTTGCCTACCCCTGGTATAGGGCTTGGCTCCTGCTTGGGGCAAAGAGATGAGGCCAGGGTTGGTTTTTGGTTTAAAAAGTCCTTTTGAGGAAAAATATATTTTTCTGCCCTTTTAATATTTCCTTCTCTGGGCTAACCTCCCTACACACCTTTCTAGGTCAAGTGACAGAAAAGGTATGCCATTGACACTGAACGGTGGTGATAAGCGTGGCTGGTTAGAATCCTTAGAATAGTTGTAGATTTTTATATTGTCATTTTCTAAAGATGCTTATAATTATGGAGTTGAGTTATATTATTAATCATTACATTTGCTTTGGAAAGAAAATTGCTCAAATTTTGAAATAAAATAGAGTTGGGTCTTTTTCATGTGCTTTAAAAAAAAATTAAACACAGAAGAACATCACTCTGCTATTGCCAAAGCAACAGGAAGAGGCAGAGTATGCTATTCAGGAGAAGCTCTTATGCAATCTCTCTCCGCCCTCCCACCCCTCTGGTGCCTCAATTTATAGCCTGTTTTTGTTTTTTGGCCTCCGTGAGTTGGACCTGAGCCAGAGCATATCCTGTTTTCCTTCTGCAGGCTATTTTTTCCAAGCACTCTGCAAAACTGCTCTCCAAAATTAATGAGAAGCTGGGGCAAGAACCAGAAGTTGAAAAGTGGAATTCCTTGATGTCAGCGAGGGGTGACCTCAAACCGATTCCAGGGGCTCTCCGGTCTTTGTCAAAGAAGGACCCCGAATTTGGTGCTTTTGTTTGGGTGGGATTATAAAAGACTTAAGTTGTTACTACCATTTCTGTTCGGGCAGAAACTGGCTGAATATGTTTAACGGTTGATTATCTCCAGGAACCTTTTACTCTCAGGTATGCGATTTGTGAGCTTCAGAATTGAATTGTAATTCTTGTTTTACTTATGGTCATATATTATATATATATTATAATTTTCAATAAATCAGCTAGGTGTGGAAATTTGCTTAAAATTTCAGGAAATGTTATGCATTTGGTTAAATAATTCTTTTTAAAAAATCCTCATTTTTCAAATCATACATCTTCCCTGGGCAGATGATTAAAAGGGGCAACTGAGTTTCCTGTTCAGGCTGGTTCTTTCTGAGGAAATTACTGGTTTAATTACTTTGGGTTCCCTAGCTGGAAAGAACCATCCAAAGGGGGAGGGGGGTCAGGTGTTTGAAAGAATCAGGTGAGTTAACATTTTTTTCATCTATGGTGCTAAAATGAATGAATAAAAGTTTAATATTCCTTCTGATATTTTACTACGTACTTCTGGGCCATTGATTTTAGTGGTCAAGAAGTATACTGATGTAGGATGAAGTGCAAAAGAAGGGTTTGAGGGCTGTTTCAGTCTCTTGGTCTCTGGTGGACAACCTCTTTCTTCTAAATGTTTGGAGACACAGTGTGATTGTGATTCGCATAAGTCCCTCCTTAACTAGGAAATAATGGGTGGAAATAATATGCTGTAATATGCTATAATATGCTGAACCACAAATCTAAGCCATAAAACACACAACGGCTTCAGTAACTACCTCTTGAATTAATACAATTGCTAGATTTGTCAGGCTGAGACCTGCTTCCAAATTTGGACTGATCTCCCTCCACCAGAAAAGAAGCAGAGCAGTGGGGAGAAAGGAGGTGCGGAAGGAGCCCCACCCACTGCCTGTTCCCCTCCCTCCCCAACTAGGGAAGGGGTGGGAAGGATCCTGGTCCCTCTCTTCCCATCCTATGGAAAGGGAGGTGATCAAAGAGCCTGACAAGTCCAGCATATTCAGTCTTCAGAAGTCTCCCATCACCTTTCCTCTGAAGCGTTATTGGCCATGTTGAAAGGGTTAGATTCTTAACAATAGTAACAATAACGATGATAATACCTCCATGATTCCTAGTTAGAACCAAATCACTGGATAATGAAGCCTCTGCTATTTCCCAGATGAATATTGTAGATGATGATGTTGATGACGATGACAGACCTTTTTCCTGTTCTTGGCAGCCAGTTACAAGCGATGAATCCATTGGAAGAAAAGATCTTCTTGAACGTTGGGGGTCTCCGGTATGAGACCTATGCCAGCACCCTCCAGGTGTTCCCTGGCACCAAGCTGTGCCGCCTGACGGAGCCCCAGGCAGCCGCCACCTTTGACTATGACCCGGACACCAAGGAGTACTTCTTTGACAGAAGTTCCTACCTCTTTGAGGAGGTGCTCAACTACTACAGGACCAAAGAGCTTCACTGCTCTGACTTGATCTGCAAGTCAGTCCTGGATGAGGAGCTGGCCTACTGGGGACTCGACAATACCCTCCTGGCACCCTGCTGCTGGCAGAAATTGATCATCGCTGAGGGGCAAAAGGAAGAGTATGGCATCCCGGAGGAAAACCAAGAGGCCGCTGGGCTCCTGGAGCAGGCGGGAAGGAACCAGAGTGCCTGGAGGGGCCGATGGCAGAGCAGAATCTGGACCACATTTGAGAAACCCTTCTCCAGTTTAAGCGCAAAGGTCAGCTAGGGCTTGAGGGGGCAGCACTTGCTTCTTGCAGTCTTGCCTCAGTGGTTTTCTTGGCCTGCCAGGGCTTCGGGGCTGTGGCTGAGGCTGAGCCAACGGCAGCCGCCCTTTTCTTAGCCTGAGGCGGCTGGTTGCTCGTCCAGAGCGGCGCTGAGCCCTGGTCTCCCTGCAGGGTGAGCCCAAGGGAGCTGGATAGGTGCAGGCTCAGGTTCAGCTGAAGGGCAATTTATTCATTTTGACACCCATTTCTCTCAGACGTTATAAGAAGAGACCTTCAGGACTGTTGGGACGAAGGGCATGGCACATCAAGTATAAATCTTGCTGCTCGCTCTAGTAGTAGTAAAAGTAAGAACGGCAATTTGATTCGCTCCTTCTGGGGTGAAAATCAACCTATGTAGGATGCAGTACTGACACAGCCTTCCACCAGCCTCCTCCAGGTCCTCATGTATTTCAGACATAGCTGGCAAGAGATGGGATTTTTTTTGCCAATTCTTCCCCAAGTTCATGAGCAGAGAAATTAGGTAGAATTTTTTTTCCTGAATTTTTATAGGGGAAGGAGAAATTCTCCAGGGAGTGCCTGGGTGGAGGCCCTTCCTGAGATTATGGATGGGAATGAATGGAGGAGGGTAGGGAATCAGAGGTTAGAGAGAGAATTGTCCTCTGAAAGGCCGGCTATTCAAACCACCTTAGGCCAGCCAGTCCCCAGGTATGTACAGGGCCCCCGCCTGTCAACCTGGAGGATATCTCTGAAATCCTTTTCTCTCTGGAAGGATTTTTTCTCAAACAGACTATGGTTGAATAAGAATGCATTTTAAGAAAATGAGGGTTCATTTTCCCCAAGGTTCTAGTTTCAGATAGTTCACTTCTATGTCCTGAATTCAGACGTGATTTGTGTGCTGAAAGCTGAGCCACATTAACTTCAATCACTTGCACAGCTGGCATTTTGCATAAGATATTTGCACAGTCGTCACGATATTCAGGAATGATCAGGCTCAGAGTCACCTTGAACCATGAAATGAGTGGCATATAAATGTAATTGATGAAGCAAGCAATCAGTCCAGCTGACCTCCTCTCTTTCCCCCCCAACAGGTCTTGGCTGCTGTGTGTCTCCTCTTCAATATAGGGATATGCTGCCTTTTTATTGCCAAAGCTTTTGAAGACACCATTTATTTGCCTGTTTACATCACGGAAAACCAGATCAATCTTATTTCAGCCCTACACACTGTGGCTGACTATTCCTTTTACACAAAGCCTTACATCCTTTACTTGGAACTTTTTTGTGTCCTTTGGTTCATGCTTGAATTTTTTTTGCGACTCATTTCCTGCCCAAATAAGAAGAAATTCCTCCAAAGCCCACTGAATGTGGCCGATTTTCTCTCCCTCTTCCCCATTTGCATTGAAGTTTCCTTCTATGGGCATCCCACAAGCCATGAGCAATTTTTATTTTGGTTGGATTTTTTCCGTGCCCCATATTTCTTCAAACTCTTGAAGGTTCTCAAGCTGGTGGAGACCCCTGTGATGCTGAGAGTGCTATCTTATACCTCCAGGGCCGCCATCAGAGAGATCCTCGTCCTCCTCATGATTTTAGTCTTTGAAATCCTTTTCTTTGGTTCTCTCTGTTATTTTGTAGACATAGTTGAAGATAATATATATACACCATTTGCTGACATCGGCTCAGCTTTCTGGTGGGCAGTGGTCACCTTGACTACTGTAGGTTATGGAGATGTTGTACCCACCTCTTTAGTTGGTAAAATGATTGGAGCCTGCACAGCACTATGTGGTGTCCTAACCATTATCATCCCGATTCCCTTCTTCTGTATGAAATTCCAAGGCTATTATGATGCTGTCATGATCAAAGAGAAGAGAAAGAGGAAAAAAAAAACCCCACTCACCTTAGTAACATAATGGATGGGCAGGATGCTTCCAATGTTTCATCGGAAAAAAACATGTGCTTCCAAACAGCTCCTGCTGTCCTGCATCGTGTGTCTTCTCCTGCCTGAATGATTAATGGTTTCATAAAGCCACTCTCATTCTGCTCCCGGAACTTCTCCACAAGTAATTTTGTAAAAATTCTTGCTTTCAATTTAGCTGGCAAGTAGCCTCTTTCCCACTATGGGCACAAGCTTATTCATTTTGAATATATCATAAATGTGCGATCATGGTGCCTTCCTTTCCAGCAAGCATCCTTATTGGCTGAGGATAAGTGAAAAGTGGAGTCGTATGGCAGACATTGTGTAAGGACCCACAATTTTTATTGAAAATTTTTTATTTTTTAACATACAAAAATACAATAAAATTTTAAAATATAATAAATTCATAAGCCACCATTGTCTATACTACCTTTACCCTCCCCTTGCCCTCCCTTCTACCCCCAACCCCCCTCCCTTCACTTCCCAGAGCAGAATATAGGGTTAATAATAACAAAATTTATAATAATATAAAAAGGAAAAAGAAAAGAAAAAAGAAAAAAAATATCATAATTAACCTTTAACTCCATAACCTATAAAGCAATTCTCTATCATATTTAATATTCATTCATAAAATAAATGAAACTTTTTAATTCCATACTTTTTCTGAATATAATCTATCCATCTTCTCCATACAATAATATATCTTGTGTTTGATCCTTTAAATAAGCAGAAATTTTTGCCATTTCTGCAAGACTAGATACTTTAAATATCCATTCTTCTAGAGTAGGCAAAGAATCTTTCTTCCAGTATAAACCTACTAATAACCTTGCTGCAGTTAATAAATTCAACATCAAAATAGTTTCTTTCTCATTTAAGTCAACAAAAATACCAAGTAAAAATAGTTGAGGAGTAAACTTTATCTTTCTTCTAAAAATCTTTTGAATGTTCCACCAAATCATAATCCAGAAAGCCTTTACTTTTTTGCAATTCCACCAAATATGAAAGTATGTCGCATCATTATTACCACATCTCCAACATTTGGGCTGTATGTTGGAGTACGTACAAGATATTTTTTTAGGATCTAAATGCCATCTATAAAACATTTTATAAAAGTTTTCTCTCAAATTTTGAGCTTGTGTAAATTTAACATCTCCCATAAATCCAATGAGATCGGTTCCTGTATATTCTGAGCCCATTTAATCATACAGTCTTTAACCAATTCTGTTTCCGAGTCTAACTCTAATAAGACATTATATATTCTTTTTATATGAGCCGGACTTTGGTTTTTAATCTGAATAACCAATTGTCTATTTTCTAATGTTATTCCCTCTTTTTTATCTACAGTCCATCTGTCCACTATTTGTAAATATTGAAACCATGACTGTAGAATGTTTTCTTGCCTTGATACATCTAGGGATTCCAAATGCCAATTCGAACCAGAACAAATTAACAATTCTTTATACGAAATTTTATCAAAATTCATCCCCTTAGAAGTTCCCTCAATTGCATGTCTGGGAATCCCCCAGATAGGTATTTTATAATTCAATCTGTAATAATACTTTTTCCAAACACGAAGTAAGGCATTCCTCAAAATATGTGATTTAAAAGTCTGATCGACTTTCTTATTAAAAATTAAATATGCATGCCAACCATATATTAAATCCCAACCATCCAGAAAAAGAATATCCATATCTGTTAAGTTAAGCCAATCACTTAACCAAGTTAAGGCGGCTGCATCATAATATAATTTCAAATTAGGTGCCTTAAGTCCCCCTCTTTCTCGAGCATCCTGTAAGATCTTAAACTTAACCCTTGGTTTCTTCCCGGCCCATAAAAAATCTTTCCGGGGAGTTTTCCCCCTTTCTTGCTCCATTGTCTGACATGGTAATTTTTTACAAAATCCCCTGGCAAGGGTCTCCCTTCCAGGTGGATTAATTTTGCAAGTCCTGTCTAATGTAAGGACCGACCCCACTTTGCATTTTAAGAAGACAGAACTCTTGGAATAATTCTTCCAACAGGAATCCTTTATTAAGAGAAAATGGTTGCAGGCGTTCTAGACAGGACTTGGGGTCCAAGCTCTCCAATTCAAGGTTTTAAGGGTTTCCCCAGTAGCCCCACCCAATCAACCCCCTCTTTCAGCGACAGTCTCAGGCATTACACTTCCACCCCCTTTTCATTACTGCCCGGCTGGATGGAGACTTCAAATAAACTACATGAAAGGAAATGGCCCCATTCTTATGGTTAGTTCTTTTGCAATACACACATTCAGTTCCTTTGAAGTATACTGAAGGAAGTGAGGTCCATAAAGCCCCTTTGTTCACCCCCTTCTCTTCCTCTTATGGCAGAATCCAGAGAAGGCAGAATTGGGGTTTTCTTTAGTTGATAACTAGAGATGAAATATAATTGGATTCTGACATCCGGCCCCCTCAAAAATAAGAGAGATCCACCTGAAAGAAAACAAAACAGGTGTAAAAGTTAGTCAGGCTTGTTAGGATACTCTGTGTGAAACTTTTTTAATAGCTTTGGGGCTCTGACATGACGTTTATGGACCCACTCATTTTGTGAGGCAGGGAGGTGTTTCCAGGCAACTAGGTACTGAGTCGCTCCATGATATCTCCTAGAGTCAAGGATTTCCTTTATTTCAAAGTGTTGTTCGCCCTCTACCATGAGGGGGGGGATTTTTGATCGTAAAGCTGACTGATGCTCTCTTTTCAGCAAGCTGCAATGAAAAAGTGGGTGTATTTGCCTGAGATTTTTTGGTAATTCTAATTCTACTGTTACTGGGTTTATGATCCGTTTAATTGGAAAAGGCCCTATATATTTTGGTCCAAGTTTTTTACAGGGTTGTAGGGACTTTAGGTATTTTGTAGATAGGTACACCATTTCACCTATAATGAATGGTGTAGGCTCAACCCTTTTTTTATCGGCTTGTGCTTTGTATGCCTGCCTAGCTTCATCTAGTGCTTTTCTAACTATTGGCCAGGTGTCTTGTAATTGTTCCATCCATTCTTTCAGTGATGGGATCGTTGGTTCATTTGGGGTTAATTCTGGCAAAGTTCTGAAACTTTGACCGGTGGCTATTTGAAAAGGAGTGTAACCTGTGCTGGAGTGGACTGCATTAGTGTAGGCAACTTCTGCAAAATGGAGTAAGTCTGCCCACTCAGTCTGCTGGAAACTAAGAAAACATCTTAAATATTGCTTAAGTACGGAGTTCATTTTTTCAACGGCCCCATTTCCTTGTGGGTGGTGGCTAGATGTCAGTCCCTGAGTGGTTCCTAAAAGGGATAAAAATTCCTTCCAAAATGCAGACGTAAATTGCACCCCCCTGTCAGAGATGATGCGTTGGGGTGCCCTATGCAATCTGTAAATGTGCTGGATGAACAGTGTTGCTAAGGCTTTTGCAGTTGGAATCTTTTGGCAAGGGATAAAGTGCACCTGTTTGGAAAACAAGTCCGTGACCGTCCAGACAACAGTATTCCCATTGCTTTCTGGCAATTCCACTATAAAATCCATGGCTATTTCTTTCCAGGGGGCTGAGGGACTTGCCACTGTTTGTAATAGTCCTGGCAATTTCCCTTGCAACCTCTTTGCAGTGGCACATTTTGGACAACTGGCTATATAACTTTCAATGTCCTTTTTCATGGATGGCCACCAAAATTGCCGTTTAATTAAGTGTAAAGTTTTTACAAATCCAAAATGCCCTGCTGATTTTGTGTCATGGCAAAGCTGCATGAAAGTGACTCTTTGGATTGTTGGTATATATAACTTTTCCCCTACCCAAGGCAACCCGTCTCTCATTGTGCACACATTTTTATTTTACTGGAACCATCCATCTGTTTCCAAACTTTTTCTGAATTCAATTCCAGTTTGGCTGTCCAGTTGTGGTTTTAATTTGGCTTGGGTTCTTGTGGTTACTGGTGCTGCCAGTTGTGACTCTGCCATTATTGGTTTAAAGTCTGTGGTTCGTGCGCTGTTATATTGAGGCATGTGAGATAGTGCATCTGCCAGGAAGTTCTTTCTCCCTGGTAAATGTTTGAGCTTAAATTGGAGCTGGTGAAAATGCTGGGACCAGCGGGCTTGTTTGGGATTGAGTTTCCTGGGCGTTTTCAGGGCTTCCAAATTTTTGTGATCAGTCCACACCTGGAAGGGGATTTTGTTGCCTTCCAGGAACTGTCGCCATGTAATGCCCAACGTATCCCATATGCCTCCTTCTCCCATATGGGCCAGCGCTGTTCTGTTTCCGTGAGTTTCTTGGATGTATACGCACAGGGTTGCAATACTTTATCATCATTTTCTTGTAATAGAACAGCCCCCACTGCCACATCACTTGCATCTGCCTGTATTACGAAGGGCTTGTCCATGTCTGGGTGTCTTAGTACTGATTCGACAGAAAAAAGTCTCTTTAGTCTCTCAAACGCTGCTTAGCACTCCATTGTCCATTTAGTGGCTGGCTAGGTTTTACTGAGGATGCTCCCTTCGTTTTTAGTAAGTTATGAGGGGCAAGGCTATCTGGGCAAATGAAGGGATGAATTGGTGGTAAAAGTTTGCAAAGCCCAGGAAACTTTGTAGTTGCTTTCTTGTGCGGGGTGGTGCCCAATCTAATACTGTTCTGACCTTCTCTGGGTCCATTTCAATGCCCTGGGGGGATATGCGATAACCTAGGTAGTCTATCCTTTCCTGGTGGAATTCACATTTGGAGAGTTTGGCATATAGGTGGGCAGCTCGCAGCTTGATTTTTTTTTTGCTTGTTTGCAAATTAGAAGACTATCAATAACCTTCCTCGTGCCCACCTAGTAGTTTGAAAACATGCAAACGCGAGTAGCACTTTGACCGGAAGCTAACAGTGTTCTATGGCATCTATGCGCCTTGGCATAAAGTCATGCCGACCACATGACCACAAAAGTGTCTTCAGACCACACTGGCTCCTTCAGCTAAGAAACGGAGATGAGCACCACCCTTTAGGATCAGGCACACCTGTACAGGGAAAACCTTGACCTTTTTTAACAGTAACCTTTGAAGCAGTTGTATCTTCTTTCAAAGCAAGAAAATTTTATATATATTGGATTTTACGTGGGAGAAAACCCGAATAACCAAAGACCTACATACAAATACCCGTGAAAACCTCAGAAAACACACACACACACACACTACACTTATACTAATAACATTTTTGAAAATCTTTTTAAAACTCTAGAAATCTCTGTGAATCTCTTTGGAAGACTTTGGCAGAAGAATGTCAGCAGGTCACCAGTAAGTGCCCCTGCAGTGATAGCTGGCAGTACATCAGGGTGTCAGAAGGAAGGTGAAAAAGGTCAAGACGGGGTCCATAATCTGGAGATCATCATGAGACCTAAAAAGAGTGGGGGAGCTTTAATAACATGGTTGTGGCTGCTATCTTGACTT